GCCGCCGCAGCCGGGGTGGGACGGTGGTGGACGAGCCGCCGGCGGACAGCTGCTGTCCAGACGGGTCGCGCCGGACTGAAACAGCGGAGTGGCGAGCCGCCGGTGGACAGCTGCTGTCCAGACAAGTCGCTGCCGGAATGAAACAGCGGAGTGGCGTGCCACCGGTGGACAGCTGCTGTCCAGACGAGCCGCTGCCGGAGTGAAACAGCGGAGTCGTGAGCCGCCGGTGGACAGCTGCTGTCCAGAAGAGTCGCCGCCGGAGTGAAACAGCGGAGTGGCGAGCCGCCGGCGGACAGTTGCTGTCCAGACGAGTCGCCGCCAGAGTGAAACAGCGGAGTGGCGAGCCGCCGGTGGGCAGCTGCTGTCCAGACGAGTCGCCGCCGGAGTGAAACAGCGGTTTCACAATCTAGCACAGTGCGGACGTCCATCCAACCGTAAAGTCCGTTGTGTCCACAGAAGACGCCATTCTGGAATATTTGCGCACATGTGACAGAATGAAGTTTAGCCGAAGTGTAAATGTTTGGCTTAAACGCTCGGTCGGCGGTTTTTTCGTCGACACTCCTGATGCCTGACGAGCTCTGGCGGCCACCCAGCGCGACGACGTCCTATATTCTGCCTGTCGTGACTGCGTGCAACCTGACCAGCAGCCGAGTCACTTTGCGGGAAGTGATCGCGCGACATGTCTTTACTGAATTATATTCACGTTTTAAGTCAGACTTTGCTGGTTCCTGTCCCCACCTAACCGATGACAGACGTGCTAAACTTTCGTAAGCGAAGCAAAGTGCCATCCGGGGCGTTGGATGATGGAGCACGTGGGTGGTATCATGCAGGTTGTACCGAACCCCAACCAAGCAGAGCAATACGCACCTGGGAAAATAAATCGTATGAATGCATTGGAATGACATCTTTCAGATCCGTTTGCTCTAAACTTAATTAAGACAAAGGGGTTGACTGAATAAGTCGACTAGGGTCTTTTGGCCTGCACCAGCGTTGAACAGAATAAGGTCACACACTTTTCGCGGTTAGCATGATTTGAAAATTGACATGCTGTTGGATTAGTTAGGCGACGATGGCCTTCTGGAGGCTAAGAACCATTCATTTGTCTTGAATTAGGTGTCTTGTGATGCATGTTATGGTTTATGGTACCAAAACTAGCATCGAAAAAAGCAAGTGATTCATGCGAAAATTGGCAACAGGAAGCTGGATCTCTCTCTATCTCAGTTTAGGCGCAAACGTGTTGTGTTTTGGTGTTGTTTCCGAAACAGGCGTCATTGTCCACTTGCCAGTCGAATGCTGGCACTCTTATTTAAAAAAATAAAATGTTTACCTACATCACGAAGTGGATCGTCAAGCCAAATCTGCTCTGTTTATCAATATCTGACATGATCTGACAATGTCATTCAAATGACCAAGGCTTTACTCGCGCCTTATATCGTGTTAACCGACGTCGCCTCGCCATACGTGTGGTGCATGTCCGCAGCTGGGAAACCACAGACTAAGCTTCGACGCCCGGCTGACTGGTGCGGACTGGCCGCCGGTGTTTACAACAGACGACGTAGCGCTGCAGAGCACGTGTCCTATCCACCAGCCGACCACCGCTTTGGACGAACTGGCCGTGCTCGGAGGATACGCTTGTGTGATCGTCGCCTACCGGTTGTCGCGGGCTCCCTGTGCGTCATGGCCGCTCGACGCGTCCCGCCCCGGTGGCGGACGGCGCGGCGGGCTGAGCCGACAGGTCCGCTCCCACTAGTCCTGATCACCCATTACCACGCCTCCAAGGCGCACATCACAAGCTACACCAGAGGTCGAGACGTGATAGGTCTGTATCTCTCCGCCCAAAATCGGTCGCTATGATTTTCAAAAAAGGCAACGATATACATAGTCATATTTTATTGTTTATTTATTTATTTTTTAATATTCTTTTCAGTTCGATGGCTACAACATTTCCTTTATTTCGTCGTCCAAATTTCTAAGTATTGTTCTTGACTCCAGATTTTCGATGTTCAAACGCGACGAGCATGTGCGCACACATATAGCCAAAGCTGACTGCAGGAGGCGGTGGAATTTGTTGCGCGTGTGATTTGGCGAATGCAAACATTGCTCCAACACCTCGGCGAGCCGCTTGCTGTAGCTCGAGTGTCGGCTTATCGAAAGTCACGTGCCTGTCCTAGTTCTGCTTGTGCGTGTCGAGATGATTCCTGTCCACGATGCCGACGAACCAAACATACCGACGGGGTGCGCTGTCCCGCCGCGGATGCACCGAGGTACGCGCGTGGCACTACCGGTCGCTTCGCGGCACTGTGCACCGCTCAGCCGCTCGCTCGCGGCGCCCGAGGCGAAGGTCGTCAGAGCGCTACGTCACGTGACCGCGCGGCCGGCGACCGGCCCGCTCGGCCGGAGTGAGTCGAGGTCATGCCGCAGGCGAGGCGCGGGGCGTGGTGCGGCGCCAGCGAGCGCAGCCGGGGAATGATCGATGATACGGCGAATCATTGCTGACGTCCACGTGGACCGGCTGGCCGCGCGGCCCACGCTGCGGGTGGATGTGACGCTCACCCACTAAGCTGCATCCGCGGCCGTGTTGTACACGCCAGATCCCGGAGCGGAGACTGCGGTGAAGGCCGCTGACATGGCTACATCCGTGGGCTTCAGGGCGTGCTGGATGAGCCCCGCGAGTGACAAGATTAGATAATCGTTCACTGTACGCACGCCCCTGACCTACATGGGTCAGTTCAGCGCCACGTTCACTCAGGGTGACCGTGGGGCTATCACGCCGTCTTCGGGTTAGGACAGGTCGCTGGGTTCCTGCTAAGCAGGTATGACGCCGTGCATCTACGGACTCCTGCTTAACTGGTGTGACGCCGTGGGTGTATGGATTCTGCCTGCCGAATTTCCGGCCCTCATCCCTACCAGGTTCGCGCGGTGCCTGTCCGATTACAGACCATGTACGCCCAGACCGAAGAAGCGACCGCCAGACCCGGCCGCAGTCGGCCGGC